GTGTGTGTGTGTGTGTGTGTGTCCGTGCATGTGTGTGTGTGTGTGTTGAAATAACAGAACCCCGCGAACGTGGAAAGCAGCGTAACAGGGCATGCAATGCCATGCATACACGATTGCCTAAGAAGAAAGACCTCAAGTCTTTTGCACAGAACAATCCATACCACAAAAGAAATCAAAACACCATAATTGGGGTGAAACCACAGACATGAAGTCAAGAAGCAGTAAGTCAACAAGACAACAAAGTAGATAAGAGACCAAGTAACAAAAAAACACAAAGCGAAAAAATAAAAAATAAAAAAAATAAAAACTGATGATAGATTATTTCGTCGGAGTTGCACCGACTCATCAGGAGGCTGAACACTCGACAATCTGCGGAATCCCTGTATTTGATGGTTTGGGTCATGAACCCTTTGACCCTTTTTGAAGGCAGATTGTCCCCAAGAGGAACATAGCAGCGGGCAGCAACCCTGTGAAGCACCAGGCAACACAGTGGAGGCAACACGACTGTAGAACGCCAAAAACGACTGCAAGGAACGACAAAGCACGCAGTGCAGCAGCCGTGTAGTAAAGCACAAGGCATTGAAGGCAACACAAGCAAGGCAACAACACTGCAAGGGACAATAGGGCAAGTGACCCAGCGGCTGGGCAACAGTGGAGCGGAGCACAAGGCACCAGTAACAAGGCAACCAACTTACAGGGAACACAAGCGGCAAGCACGGAAGGCACGACCAACGGATGAGCAGCACGGCAGCAGAGCAGCAAAGCGCAAGGCAACACCAACAACATGGCCACACCGCATAGCGAACACATCAACCCACAAAGAGCCACATGCGAAGCAAGCGGGACAGGCAGCAGGGCAGCGGCGGAGCGCAGACAAGGACGTCCACTCATCCAACACGGAGCAAAGCAGCACATGACTTACTCACATCACGATAGAACCCCGCAGACAGTTGGTTCCCATTACCCACTGAGCCAGGGAGTCAAATTCAGTCAATCAGACGAACATCCGTCATCACCGACAGGCAACACAGACATCTCGAACCGAGCAGCCCCCATAAGAGTGCAGTAGGCACTCCAAACGAGGAACCACCGACTGTTTGGCACTACTTAAGGGTGCTCAATTGAGCACACAAAAAGACTTAGAAAAAATCAAGGGGAGGACATACAACAGAAGAAGGACCAACAACATAAAACTGATTGTGTGTGTGTGTGTGTGTGTGTGTGTGTGTGTGTGTGAGCCGGGGGGAGGGGAGGGAGGACCCCTCCCCCACCAATCAATCAATCAATCAATCAATCAATCAATCAATCAATCAACCAATCAATCAATCAATCAATCAATCAATCAATGAGTCAATCAATCAATCAATCAATCAGTCAATGAAAAAATAATCAATCGATCGATTTTTTTTAATTTTTTTTTGTCACACATAAGAAACCACCCCCCCAAATTTTTGATTTTTTTTTTTTTTTTTGTTTTTTTTTATAGGCCGATACCGGTCGACATGTGCAGGCTGAGCGCGTGCCCCGATTTTGAGTGCGCGCCCCCGCCGGGGCGTGGCGCGGTTGCGCGCGAACTCGCCCGCGCGGCCTCCTCGGCCTCGGTCTCGGCCACAGGATCCGTGGCTGACGATGTCACGTAGTGTGAAGCATACTACGACTTTCGTGCGTGCTTATGATCATGCTCATCCTCTCCCTTCATCATCCTCCCCTCCTACTCTTCATCCTTCTATTGACCCATCTACTGTGGTTCGACCTGTCATTGAAGTTGATTCCTCTCGCCCTCAGCGTACCCATCGACTGCCCTCTCGCTATCGTGACTGATCTATACCCTCTATACGCTCTCTATCTCTTATCATTTTTTGACACTTATACAACAGCTCCCAATTTCAGCTTCTACATTCGGTTTCTACACTCACCTTTTACATTCGGCTTCTACATTCTACTTCCGACCTCAGTGCCTTTCTTTAGTACCAGAGTACTCGTCGCARTGTTTCTATGTTACTCCTACTTCATCTTGGGTACTTTGACTCGACTTCAATTTGGAAACTCGTCAGTTGGACGACTTCACTGTTTCGGTCATGGAGTTCCCATCATTCCCATCTATCCAGTGATCACCGAAAGGATGACACGCTTCCACTCCGCCAGGAAATGCTGGTCGTTGACGAGGGCCGCCGTTCTCTTGATGTTGTTGTCGTGTTGACACCCGAGAAACTGAGGGCACTTGTTGACGTACTTAGAGTCCGTGAAAAATTTCCTGCTCTCGTTCCACAGCTTGTCGTCGAGACCTTTGTCCTTGAACTCTTCAAACAGTTGCTTCTTGGACCTGAAGAAGGTGGAGTTGGCATTCCACTCCCGCTTATCCATTTCCTCTTCCTCGAACTCCACGTAGTGCCACAACCTCAGCATAATCCGGTTCATTTTTATTATGTCGACCATCTCCTTGACACTGAACTTCCCTTGCTCGGCCAACTTCTAGCTACTCATTTGAACCCACACGACGTTAAGGTTCAAGACGCCGTTCAACAACCTTTTCTTCTCGCGGTCCGTCAAGTCCACCAATTCCTTCCAGCAGTGGACATCCGGCTCAGAAACTTGGACGTGGAAAGTTTTCTCCTCTGGGTCTTTCTTTGGCTTCCCCTTGCCCTTTTTCAACGACGGGTCATCTACCTTCACGTACCAGACGTGTTTCTTCAGCCCCTGGCTGTCAATCACAGTGGAAAGTCCTGGCTTGGCCACCTCCTCATAGGTGGGTGGCTTTTCAGTCCAACGCCGGCCGTCAAAAGCAAGGAGTTTGCCTTTCGACCACTCCTCATAGAACTTCTCTCCCAAAGCGAAGACGGAGTCATCTGCCATGACCAGCAGGAGGTAGTATCGAAGTTTCTCAACCCATTCCTTTCTTTTCTTTTCTTCCGTTGACAGGTTCCACAAAGGCGTGTACGGTGTCTTCTTCATAGCCAACGCCATCAACTGCACCCACTTTCGCACCTCGTCCTTTTTCTTCGACGCATTGTCGAGCACCACACGCGGTTTGGCCTTAAATCTCCAGCTATTGCGAATGTCCCACATAGACAAAACCTGCAAGCGCGGTGGATTCTTCTTGTCTTTCATGTTGTCTTCGCAATTGACATGGGCGTAGCCATCGAACTCGTCGTCAGGGAAGTAGATCGGTCTGAACGGCCATTTACAGAAGTTGTAGTACTCAGACACGGGATGGTCTTTCACCTTCATCGCTGCCCTCGCGTTATGCTGTCCATACACATGATAATACCAGTATTTCTCCGGCTGTGAGCTGTCGAAGTTAGCAGGCAGCACGCGCACAGCAGGCTTACCATTCTCTTGAGGCGCGACGATCGGAGCGAAAACAAAAATTGGCTTCGTGTATCTCATGTCTTTACGTTCGTAGCAGTCGATCATAGCCGACGCGATGGTATCAACGAGGAACTCGTCCAAGGATCGGTGGTTGTATGCGTCTTCCTTGTCTGGAATAGCTAATATTCTTTCAGGATGGATGTGCAACACGACGTCCTTCTGCACCCCTGTCTGCATCTCGAGGAAGGCGTTGAGGTTAATCTCCACGTCTTCATCTCCCTCCCCGCTGTCGCCCTCATCTGCTTTCTTCCCCCTCGATGATTTCGACCGTTTCCCGTAAGACTCACTGGTTCTTCGCTGTGTCAACGAGTCTTTTGGCGTTTCATCCCCACCTCCAACCCTTTTCCTCTTCTCAACAGAACCGCCCTCTCGTGTTGTTGGCGTCCGAGCACTCCCTCCTACCTTTCTCTGCCTTTTAAGAGCACCTACTCCCTCTCGCTCTTCCTCATCCGGCAAGTTGCGCTTTCTTCCCGACTGAGTCTTTTCAGTCGATCTCTCACGGAACAGCCCCTGCTCGGACACCTCCTCCTCCCCGGCGACGTTCCCACTTGCTTCTCGTTTCTGGCTCAACTCCGTCTGCAGTTGCGCAGGCGCAGGTCGGGCCCGGCGAGTCGTCTCATCTGACCCACGCACCTCTCGAACCTGCGGACCAGCCGTGTGATCTCCAGGCGAAACCTCGGCCACCTGCATGCCACGAACGAACAAACCGATCCTTTCGACCAGACCACGAGGAGTCGTTGATTCTGAGCCCTGTCGCAACCGTTCGCCATCGCCGCCTCCACGTGGCGTCGACTCCCCAAGCAAATATTGACGGCGAGATCCATGCAAGCCCGGTTTCGAAGGAGCACGCGGATGGTCGTCCTCTGAGTCGTCTGACATGCTCACCTCTTGATCAGGAGGCGTAGCTAACAGGCCACCCTGACCTCCCATCCCCCTTTTAGAGCACTCTCCTCCCGCGAACCCAACAGGACCACTGATCGATGTCCCAGGTCCGACGTCCACGACACTGACAGAGGTACCAGATCTCCTCCAGAGCTCGAGGAAGTCTGTCACGTGAATGGCCTCGCCGTGCCCCGGCGCTAGCGGGACAAAGTACGACAAAGACTTCGCACGCCGGCCGTACCCGCCGAACATCCTTCCGGCAACCTTGCATCCTTTTGCGATGTCGTCGACGGAACCATCACTTTTGTAATGCTTCTTCAACGTAAACTTGAAATTGTATTCATTAACGTCGACCCACTGGACGATGGACCCTGCGAGATGCGTTTTGTCGGCGTGAATGGCGACGAACAAGAGCGGCCCGCACGGTGGTTGCAACGGGTCGGAGCTGTCCTGGCTCGCCCAGTCCAAATACCTGACACGTTTGTTGTACTCGCACCACAAGTTTTGAGCCCGTCGTTCTTCCTCCCCTCCGCCACCTCCCTGACTCGTTTTCCTTGCCGGCGATGACGTCGTCCCTCGACGCTCCTCTCCATGCGGGGCGGAACCACCAGCGGAGCGGCTTCGTCCGTGTGTAGCCATTCCCTGAAACACACGGAGGAAATGAACCCACATGCACTCAGAACAGTCAGCACGTCCCAACATCAACCACTACCCACAGTACGTATTCTGTTATCGGTCACCCGGACCCCAAAACAACGAAGTTCGGTCATAGTTAGACGACAGTGGTCCCCACGCGTGCACGTTTCGGATGAATCGGAGGCATCCTAAGACATCCTCGTCACAATGCCCTTAAGAGAACGAATGGTCGAAAACGAAGACGGCGGGATAGATCGGATCCATCCGAAGCAGGCGCATTCGAAAAACCGACGTCGCATTGGCACCTGCACCGGGAAAAGCAATACCTAGCAAGTAGGCACTAGAATGCTAACACAGCAGACGAAGGCGTGCACCCCGTGGTGATACGGTGTCATCCGAAGTCGACAAGCGGATTGTAACGTTCGCCGGTGTAGTTCAGATGCATCCGAGCTCCAAAGTGACGTGGACCACCCCCTTGCGGCCCGGACCAAACCGAACTCGAGTTTTCTTGTCCTTCTGAGTCGGTAACGGTTGTGCCTTGGATGCATCCAAATTCGAAAAAAAGTGGTCCAGAGACGGCCGTCCACAAGAGGGCACCATCTTCAGCAAGTGTTTTCATCACCGACCTGTGAGCACTGGGTTAACCCTATCCTGCCGGAGGTTTGGTTCGGTTGAACCTGAACTTCGCAAATGTGGCTCGGATTAATCCGAGACGGGGACCGGCGGATGGACCCCACGGTCTGTTGACGCCCATCCAGCCGTCCAAGCTTCCGTGATTCCCCAGCTTTCCTTGGGTCCACCCGAATTTTGCACAGTGTGTCTTCGTCCTTGAGTGTTTAAGACGGGTGTGGCTCCGATTTATCCGATTTCGACAGGGGCTGTCCCAATACGTGCGACCACGACAGGCTGCGCCGACACCGTGTGCTTTCGTCGTACAAGTTTATCAGACCGTGGGACGTCGTCAATACCCTCTGCGCATGTTATAAATCCGAACAAGCCATCGGTTTGGTTCGGATTAATCCGACTTCGCCGAGGCGCTTCGGTTTGTTATCGCCCCACCACACACCAGACCTCCCCGCGATTGTCGTAGTGTGTCATTATAATCTGTGCGTCATCATGGGGGATGTCATCGTCCTCGTGAGTTCTAGTTGGTTGTTGCTCGCCCAATCCAAACAACAGACACGTTTGCTGTAGTCGCAGCACAAGTTTCGAGCTCGTCTTTCTTCCACCCGAGCGTCACCATCTCGACTCGTTTTAGTTGCATCAATCCGAGGCATCGTTAACCTTCGTCATCAGACTGCCTTTCGTAGAGCGAATGGTCGAAGACGAAGACAGTGGGGGAGTTCGGACACATCCGAAATGGGTAGAGTCGAAAGTCTGACGTTGTGACTCGGATGCATCCGAATTAGCACAATGCGAGACAGAAACGACCGACCACAAGAGGAGGCCATCGGCATGGCGTGTTTTTCTCAATGACCTGTGAGCATAAGGTGGACCCTATCCTGTCGGAGGTGTGGTTCGGATTAATCCGAGACGGGGACCGGTGGATGGACGGGGCGGTCTGTTGACAGCATGTGATTTCGTCGTTCACATTTATCAGAACGTGCGACGTCGTAAATACCGTCTGAGCATGTGACAAATCCAAATTTGTCGTCGGTGTGGTTCGGATTAATCCGAACTTCGCCGCGGTGCCTCGGTTAGTGGTCGCCTCGTGAGTTTTAGTGGGTTGTGGCTCGGATGCAACTGAAATGAACAAGGGTGGCTCGGATATGTTAGTTGTTGCGCCACCACAAGATGGTATGGATAGGGTGGGCTGTCGTCCTCCTGGTTGGTCAGACATGTCGCCGTCGACAATACCCTATGAGCATCTGATCGCTCTGTGTCCTGTCCTATGTCCACGTCAGCGGAAGGGTCCCTCGCGGCGTTCGGCAGACGCGAGGTTTGATAGGGTTTAAAGATTTGAATTCACGTTCGCGTCCTGTGTCTTCGGATCTGTCATAGATGTCTTCGGATTTCTGATCTGTGATTGCACCCAGGGGGACCAACCTAAGATCGGTTGAGCGACTGTCTGCGATACACGAAGATTGGAGAAAGGCAGAAAACACGCACAGACACAGAAGGGAGACTAAGATCGATAGAGCATGGGCAGCGAGAGAGCCTGTCTTTATCTCTCTGTCTCTCCATGTGCAAATCCTGCGGATGGTGTTGTCCATTTCGGAATTCGCAATGTGACCCAGTAATAAAACTGCGCAAAAGAAATATAAGAAAAAATTGTTCGTGTTGGCGAGAGGAAGAGTGCCGAAAAATGTGAAAGATTTGACGAATGTGGAGGACAATTTACGGATACAGAACCGAACGCCGAGCGAACTACACGACGCGACTTACGCGGGAAAACAAATAAACAAACCGAACGCAATATAGATTAATTCAGTGAGAAGAAAGTCCATGTGCAATCCAGAAGAGACACGTTTTGTGAGAAACCATGTTCTCGTGTTCGACAACATACGACTTAAATCGTTATATCGCAGTTCGTGAGAGAGATAACAAATTGACGACAAGCGAGTAACACTTCAAGAAAATATCTGAAGTGACGACACAATCTCGAAGGGCGTGTCACAATATTCTCGGGCTACATTCGCGGGTCCCGTTTCGTTGGTGACCACTCGCCCCGATCAGATGGCACACTCGCACGTCCACGTGTCAGCTCCTCAACATGCATTGCCACATTGATGGGTGTGGGGCTCAATTCGACAACATTCTGTTGTCTCATAGAGCACCGCATCCATCAGGTTGGCCACGCTTGCTCAGGACGTGACACGTGGACGTCGGAGTGTGCCGTCTGATCGGGGCGAGTGATCGCCAATGAAACACATGCATTCTTGCTCTTGAAACTCCTTCATCTTGCCCCGATCAGATGGCACACTCAGACGTTCACATGTCAAGTTCTGAACATGAGTGGCCACGCTGATGGGTGCGGGGTTCTATTAGACAACATTTTGTGCCTCATAGAGCCTCGCATCCATCAGCGTGCACACGCTTGTTCAGGAACTTACACGTGGACGTTTGAGTGTGCCATCTAATCGGGGCGAGTGGTCGCGAATGGAACGAGATCCGCAAACGCACCCCGAGGTAAGTTCGGGAAAGAAACAGGCCAGCGCATAAGACGAACGAAATAGAGGTGCTGAAGACAAACTAACGACGGGGACGAAGATGGTAGTTGAACACGACGGCACACATGTCCACGTGTCAAGTACTGATCATGTGTGGCCATGCTGATGGGTGCGGGGTTCTATTCGACAACATTCTGTTGACGCATAGAGCCCCGCATCCATGAGCGTCCCCACACTTGTTCAGGACCCGCCACGTGGACGTGTGAGTGTGCCATCTGATCAGGGCGAGTGGTCGCCAGTGGAACTAGAGGCACTTATAGAAAACAAACGACGGGGATGATGATGGTGGCGGAACATGACGCTGTTGGTTCTGTCTCGTTCGTTTGTGTGCGCTTGTCATTTACGTTCGCAAACTTTGTGCGAGCGACATAGACAAGCGCAGTAAAACAAACGAGATAAAACACAAAAAGAGAGATAAATAGATACCGAGAGAGAGAGAGCGCGACAGAGAGGCGATCTCCGCCTTCATCACACGGCCCAATCAAACTTCACGATCAAATGGCCCCGAACGTCATCCCGATCACACATCGGACTCACGGAGAGAAATCCCTGTTAGATCACACGACACTGCTCGTTCGCGGCGACTGAACCCAATGTAATCGCCACCCCACGAATCCCGACCACAGATCGCGTACATCTGTGGGCATTCTGACGGTCTACGCAAACCCAGCATGGCAGGACTTTTCAGGTCGGTGGAGATGACGAGAGAAAGAGAATTAGAGAGAGAGAGAGGGAGGGAGGGAGAGAGAGAGAGAGGGAGGGAGGGAGAGAGAGAGAGAGGGAGAGAGAGAGAAATATATATATATATATATA